CCACCAGCAAGGTGTGAGGGTTCCAGTTTCTCCATATCCTCGTCTACACTTGATATGTCTGTCTTTTTGATTACAGCCATCTTGGTGGTATCTCAGTATAATTTTAAACTGCATTTCCCTAAGGGCTAGTGATGCTGAGCATATTTCCATGTGCTTACTAGCCATTCATGTATCATTTTTAGTGAAATGTCTATTCACATATTTTTGCCATTTTCTAATTGGGTTGTTTATCTTACTATTGAATTATAAAAATTCTTTATCTATTCTGGATATGCATCTCTCATAAGATATATGACTTGCAAATATTTTCCTCAAGGCTGTGGTTTGTCTTTTCATTTTCTGAATAGTGTATTTTCAGGGGCAAAAGTTTTTAATTTTGATGAATTTGCGGTTTATCAATTATTTTCTTTTATGGATCATGCTTTTGGTGTTGTATCTAGGAACTCTTTGCCCAACCCAAGGTCATGAAGATTTTTCTTCTATATTTTCTTCTAGAAAGAACTGCAGTTTTAACCAGCGTTCAAAGAGAGTCTGTTGCATACTCTCCAGATTCAGTGTTCAGGCCATACCAACCACCTGTAGATAGAATATATAGACTTGAGTGTGAAAGTCTTTGTCTGATAGGCTGAATAACTAGGAGCTCATACATCTGTAGGAGTGTGTACATGTGAATGGCTTCTGTGTGCGTGGTCAGGGGGACACCATGGATAGACCACTTTAGCTTCAGGACTCATTGTGCTGTAGGAGACAAGCACCAGCGTCCCCGCTTTGCAGACTGTGCTAGTTAATTCCTACCTCCATGACCGCTCCTTCCCCCCGGCCACCTGCTTTCCTAACCTTAGCCTCCATCCCTCTGTCATCTCTGAAGGAAGCAGCTCTGAGGAAAAGGGGACAAGTCGGGGAAGAAGCAAAGTCTGTAATTGATACATACAAATACATGTCCACCTGTTCATGCACCTACATTAGCTACATCTATATTTGCAGAAATCCAGCATGCATTCTGTGTTTAGATATATCAGTGAAGCAAAAGCACGTGCAGCTATCCTTATGCATGTTGCCACATTCCTGCGACACTTGAGGAAGGCAGAGACTATGTGCAAGATAGCTGGCGCTCAGTATTTGTGGTTGAGTAAATGCGCACATGCACAATCTCACCCTCACTGCTCTATGACACTGCATGTAGTTTTTATGTAGAGACATTTGTGTGGCACACGTGTGCTCATATGTGTCCATTTGCACATGCAGAAACAGCCTCATACAGCTTTGGTCTCTCTCCTTTCTTACAGGACCTGGCCTCAGGGGTCCCCAGGTTTTAATAAAAGCTGGATGGAGGAGGCTGCTGGAGGAGAGAAGAATTTTCTATTCCTCTGCCCTCCCTCTGGCTAGGGGTCATGGGAGAGAGGACAGTCACTTTGCCCTTCTTGTTAATTTATTAATTCGTAGTTTTATTTTTTTAAAGTCAAACGAGCTCTAATTTACACATAGTATAGTTCATCCTTGTTAGAAGTGCATTTCTATGAATTTTTACAAATTAAGCATTTGGTCATGTAGCCACTGAAATAATCAAGATAGAGAACAGTCTCATCACCCCAAAAAGTCCCCTCAAGGCAGGACACAAGAAAAGCAGTGCATAGGCCTGGGAGACACTGGGGTGGGGGTGGCACGGCTGCTGTGGCATGTCCAGAGTCAGTGTGTCTCTTGGTCAGGACATCCTTGCTCTTCAGTCTGGGGCTCTAGAGGGAGGCTGGCATTAGGATAAGGAGAGTGAGGCAGGGTTGTGCAGGAGCAGGATCAGAGCCTGCTTCTGTTTACATTTTTATATTTTGTCATCATGGATTTTTACATTAATTTTTACTTTAAAAATATTTTTATTAAAATACTGTTTATCTTGATTGCTGAGTTTTTGGTGCCTCCTTAAATTTTGCACCCAAGAGGCAAGTGCCTCACTTGCCTCACCCTAGTTTTGGTTCTGCTCTGGGGACAGAGAGCTTGCCCAGAGAAGGGTGTGTGTTGCTCCACATCCCTCCACCTCTCCACTTCTTCCCCTCACCCACATCCATGACCTTTTGGCCCCTCCCTGGTGCCTGAATGGGGACCAACCCAGGGAGGAAGGGCAATTTTACTATCAGTGTTAAAACATGGAATAAGGTTCCCCTAGTGCCCCCACCCCTATATCTGGGCTGTGAGCTGTCACCCCTCCCATTTCAGGTTTCAAAGGGCCCTGCTTCACTCATTTATTCCACATTCACTGACACCCGCCTGTGCCAAGATCCTGCCCTCAAGGCACTCCTGGCTAGTGGGGAAGACAGAGGAGAAAGCAGACATGAGGTTCAGTGTAGTAAGGACAGCAGCTGAAGGTGAGAGGGAGCTGAGGCTGAGGGCCCAGGAGGCTTTGCATGGTGGATGTTGCCTGGACTAAGGCTTCAGAAGGAGGGTGTCCTGCTTAGTAAAATGGAGGCGGGACCCCAAGACAGAGAGCGAGCAGTTCTGTGGGGCTCCAAAAGCATCTCACATCCCAGGTAGCACTTCACACATGTTCCATTTGACCTGTGCTGGGTTTTTAAATTTTTGAATCAGTTGTCAATGTTTAGAAATCCAGAGATTTCACCTAGAAATCCAAAATCCTGCTCTCATCAGCAACAAACAAACAAACATTCATACAAAAAAACCCAAAGAGTTCTGGCCACGTGGGTGTGTCCTGAATGGTAACACTCAGCCAAGTATCGGGTCTCCTGCGTCTCATGCATGTTACCTGTTATGCTCCCCGCCTTCGAGGTCTAGAACTGTGCTGTCCACTGCGGGAGCCTCAGGCCCCGAGTGGCTACTGAGCACTTGAAATATGGCTGGTCTGAATTAGGATGGGTTGTAAGTGTAAAATTGCATTGAATTTTGAAGACCAAATATAAGAAAAGAATGTAAAATAGCTCATTAATAACTTTTAAAGTGTTGATTGATTTATATATGCTTCAGTGATAATATTTTTATATATTGGGGTAAGTAAAAATATATTAAAGTTAGTCTTACATGTTTCTTCTTGCTTTGTTTTTTAAGTAAGGGCTATTAAAAGTTTTAAACTTATATATGTGCCTCATAGTATTTTTGTATTGGTCAGCATGGGTCAAGAGCCTAAAGGGCAGGTGGAGGACCAGGCAAGACGGGTAGGCAGGAGCCGGACCCCAGAGGAGGAGGAAGGAGGGCATTATGACAGTTAAGGGTGTGAGCGTTAAAGTCCGTAATCAGAGTTCAAGACCCATTTCTGCTCCTTAGTGCTGTGCCATCTTAACCTCTTTGAACTTTTAGTTTCTTCATCTTGAAGTGGGGATGGGGAATAGCATCCACCACAAGAGCTGTTCATGTGAAGCACTTGCTCTACAGCTGGCACTCACTGAGGGATAGGGGCATCGTTCTGCTCAGCTGTGGAGCTGGAATTTGATTCTCAGGGAACTGACTATGCATTGACGGGTTCTAGGCTGGGGAGTGATATGTGTTTCAGAAAGATCCCTCTGGTGCAGGGGCTATGCAGAAATTCAGGTGGAAAGTGAGTGAGCATCCCTGTTCACGCAGAGAAGTGGCTCTATCCAGGGCACGTGGAGGAATGAAAGCCGTATGACATGGCGATGGATGGGACGTGGTGGGGGAGGGCAGTGTGGAAGGCCTCACTGAAGTTTCTGGCTAGGTGATGGGGTGGAGGGTTCGAATGTGCATCCAGAGAGGGAAAAGCTGGAGGGACTGTGCCAGGCCAGGGACTGGGCCAGCCTTGCTTACCTCTGCATTCCTGAGGCTTAGCAGTTTCTGGCATGCAGGTGCTCAGTAAATATTTGCCAAATGACTGGAGGGCTGAGTGCTTTGAGACCACAGTCCAGGACTTGCTACTGGTCCTAAGTCTACCAGCTGTGTGATCTCGGACACCTTACTTCACCTTTCTGGGCTTCAGTCCCATCTGAAAAATGGGCATAATAAATGTAGCCCCCTGGTGGGTTGTTCTGAGGATTCAGTGAGGTTATCTGTGGAACACATAGTATAGTCAATGCTCAGTAACTACTGACCTCAGGCTCCCCACTTAACCCACCCTCCCCAAACACACAAGACCTCTACCAAGGCTCTCACTTCCTTGAAAGAAGAGAAGCTGAAGAGGGAGCAAGTGCCTCAGTCATTCTCCCTTCCCTCTGAGGGCTTAGCAGGAAGATGGAGGTTAGACTGCAGGAAGAACTTTTAGAGCCAAGAGTGTCCAAGTGGGTGTTGGAAAATAAACTTCTTGGATTCCCTTCCCTGCCCTTTCATAGGTACTAGTAGACAAGAGCACTTGGGGTAGGGGGCTGTAGGGTGTGTCTCTTTATTCTTGGTCTCCTTGAGCATCCCAGAGTGACTTGGCAGGAAAGGGGCCAGGGCTGGAGGCCTAATGGGAGCATAACCTCCCTGTCTCCGGGATGTGAGAGTCCAAAGCTCCCGGGCCCTTCACTGATCTGGGGTGCAGGGGAGATATGGGCATCACAAGTGAGCAAGGGGGAACTGGGGACTCCTTGTGATTGCGCAGATCTGGCTGGGCCCTGCTGCAGGGACCTAGGAATCCTGCCTCCAGCTCAGGCTCCATTTCCTTAGTTCCAGCCCCTTCTCTGATGACACATGCCCAAACTCCAAGAATGCTGAAGCCGTTTGAATTTTAACAGGGAACCAGCCTGACTCGGTGAAGGGAACAGGGGTTCAAGACCCAGAGAACTTTGGGTTTCATTTCTGCCACTCACTAGCTGAGTGAGCTTGAGTGAGTCGTGTTAACCTCATTGTGCCTGAGTCTCCTCCCTTGTAAAGCAGGGATAGGGGAACCACCTTCTGAAAAGTGCTGGGACGTGTAGTACAGCTGTGTGTGCACAGCATGTTAGCGCGGTGCCCATGGACAGCTGATGCTTCATCAATGTGTTCCCGCCACAGCTGGTTACTGGCTGTGTCCTGTGGTCCCTGGCTCAGTGTTGTCTCTCTCCCTTGCTCTTGCTTCTGCTCCACAGTCCCCATCCCCTCCAAAGCCAGCAGCCTTTCTGCCCTCTCCTTGGCCAAAGACAGCTTGGTTGGCGGCATCACGAACCCCAGTGAGGTCTTCTGCTCCGTGCCAGGCCGGCTCTCTCTGCTCAGTTCAACATCCAAGTACAAGGTGACAGTGGGAGAGGTCCAACGGCGACTCTCACCTCCCGAGTGTCTCAATGCCTCCCTCCTGGGTGGAGTCCTTCGAAGGTAGGAAGGCCAGCCCACAACTCCCTGCACAGTGCCAGGGCTAAAATCTGTGGTCATTTCAGACTTTCTCAGGGGATCAGAGAGGGGCCAGCCCCACCCCAGGCCACAGGATCATCTCCACCTGTCTCCCTGGAATTGTGCATGCTCCGGGGCAGGCCTGGATCCCCAGCAGCTCCCACGGGTCTGTGGGCTTGGGGGTGGGGGTGGAGAGGAGCCTGGGTACAGAGAAGGGATGGAGGATTCACCCACATTGGGCAGGAAGGGAGAATGCCATCTTCATTCCACCCCCCCCAGGACAGAAGACCCATTCCCTGTGTCAGTATAGGCCTCTCTGGTGTGTGTGCTTTGGGGTGGCAAACATGGGGTCCATGGTTTTTCTTCAGAGTTGTGTTTGTCTCTCTCTCTGCATGTCCTTGTGCCTGGGTAGGATATTTCTGCTTCAGGGCTATGAGTTTTGATGTGCTTGAGGACAGTGTTTGTGTGCATGTGTGTATGAGTGTGATTGCATGTGCACCTGGAGCTAGACATATGTATGTTTACATGTCTGTACCTGTGTGTAGGGGCTGCATTTGTGCAGGTGTGGGAGAATCTCCCTATTCCTAGTCTCTTTCAGCATCCCAGTGGGGCTTGGAGTCTGTGAGTGTCTGTACAAAAATGTCCCTGGGATCCTGACTTGGTGTGAACATGTGTCTCTGTGTCCCTGGGTGTCTTGAGTTTGTGTCGGTCTCTGTTGGGGTCTGTGTCTCTATTCTTGGCCCTCAGTGTGTCTTCATCTGTGTGTGTGTGTGTATCCGTGTGCTCCTGGGCAGCTGTGTGTGTAACTGTTTCCTCATGTATCTGTCTGTGTGTCCCTGGGTAGCCCTGTTGGTGTGCTAAGGTGGGAAAAAGGACTCTAAGATGCTAGTCTATCCTGCCCTATCTTGGGCTGTCCCTGCTGTTGAAAGGATTAGGGAGAAATTAGGGTTTCCTGGAGCTGGGTGGTGGGCCCCCATTCCCATCTTGGTTGTAAAACCAGTGAGATTAAGGAGATTGGCATCAGGCTAATAGACACCCCAGAGTGTCCCCAGGGCCAGACCCAAGCCTCAGCAGGGTTGGTGGAGGCAGCAAGGCCCTGCTGGGGTCATGTAACCTACATGGTTCTATCTTGTCTTCATAGTGTGTGTCTGTCTCTGTGTGCATGTCAAGGGCCAAGTCCAAGAATGGAGGCCGGTGTCTGCGGGAACGGCTGGAGAAGATTGGGCTCAACTTGCCAGCTGGCCGACGCAAGGCCGCCAATGTGACGCTGCTGACTTCACTAGTAGAGGGTAAATGAGGCCTGAGGGGCATGTGTCATTCAGTGTGACTGCCTCTAACGCAGGAGGGTATGCTTAGTCATGTGTGTGTTCTCTGCATCATGTATAAGTAAGGTGTGTGTGTGATATGTGGGTATAGTCTTTAAGTGAGGGTGCTGGTGCAGTAGAGAGCGTGTGTGTGTGTGTGTGTGTGTGTGTGTGTGTATGAAGGGAAGAGTGGCCAGTGTCTAGATACAGCAGAGGGATGAGGGGGTCAGTGTCCGTTCCCTGGAGGTTGGTGACCCCGGGCTTGGTCATCTTGAGTTCAGGCTCTGGGATATATGGTGGGCTCAGGTCCCACCCCTGAGCTCAGAGCCCGTCCCGGGTGGCCCCAAGGGAGAGCAGTGGGGTTCTAGGGTAGAGCTGAGAAGGGACTACAGAAGCAGGATAGAGCAGGCAGGCCCTGGTCAGGGGTTGGAGGGTCAAGGCTCGGGCTCAGAGGTGCACCTGGCTGTAGTCATGGCTCATCTCTCTGTCTCCCCTCCCCTCAGGAGAGGCCGTGCACTTGGCCCGAGACTTTGGCTATGTTTGTGAGACCGAGTTCCCAGCCAAGGCAGCCGCCGAGTACCTGTGCCGACAGCATGCTGACCCTGGGGAACTGCACAGCCGCAAGAGCATGCTGCTGGCTGCCAAGTGAGTGAGGGTGCTATGCACAGGCTCGTGCTGGTGCAGTGCACAGACACAGACACAGACACCAAGCATGGGCACGACGGATACCACTCATGCACATGTGATATACATGGTACATGTGGCACCAGTGGCACACAGGCATACCTAGGCTCCATGCTGTGCACGAGACAGGGGTACACGTGGACACATATGAGCATATCTGGGTTCTGTACACCAGCAGAAAGTGTCCCAGACAGGCTTACACAGGCTTATGTGTGGGTACCATGCCCCAATACACTGCCCCGTGGCACCAACCAGCCTCAGTTCTATCATCAGTCTGAGTTCCCTAGTCTTCCTCCCCCTGCCTGAGCCTTGACAATCAGCACCTCTGCTCCAGTCACCTCCATGGGTGGCACCAATACCCACCCAGGCTCCCGGGTTGACCCTCCTTCGTCTTTACTTCATATCTGACCTCTTTGCAAGTCTTGGTGCCTCCTTCACCACAACTCACATGCTGCCCCCTCAACTCTGGTCTCCCAATCTCACTCCTAGACTTGCATCTCAATGCCCCTCTCTTCCCTCAGCATCCCTGCACAAGCACTGCTCCCCTACCCAAAAGCCTTCAGTAGCTCCCACTGCTACTGCATTGACTGTCAAACTAGGTTCTGTGGGAATGCCACAGAGCCTGTTTAATGAAGTGGTATTCCACTAGGATTTAGTTTTTGAAAGGGTCCCATTGCAAGAAGAGACACACATTACACACACATACACAGAGAGTGGGAATGGGGTGTCTGAAAATCACCAATCTGTAAAGTCCAGACTCCTTTGAGGGCCCTCACAATCTGGTCTGCACAACCTCCACCCACTCCAACTGACCCACTTGCTCTCCTACCCTCCCATCCTCGGACTTGCTCTTCTGCCTAGAACACCATCCAGTCCCCCCACCTAATACAGTCCTTCAAATCACAACTCCACCTTTCTTCCTTTGAGATTTCCTCAAGTCCCCAAGGCAGAAGTGGAATCACAGACTCCTGGGACTGCCATGACTCATGGGACCTTTGAGGCTGCTCCTGTTGCAGCTGGAGAAACGTATCTAGGGCAGGACTCACCTCACTCATTAATCAGCTAACTAATCAAGCACTTCCTGGGTCCCAGTCACGTCTAAGATGCTGATGGCTCCATGGTGATGCAAAGATGAGACACAAGTGATTCTCCTGCTCGAGCCACACACAGAAATGAATAATGGCTGCAAACTGGAGCTGGATTCAAATTACAGCCTAGTCACTTGGGCAGGTCATCTATCCTGTCTGAAACCAACCAACCAGTTTCCTCTTCCATATGGTGGGGATGATAGCAGTACAGATTTGTTGTAAGAGTTAAGTGAGATGTATGCACATTAAGTGGGATGTATGCCTCAATTCATGTTCACTGCTAGCTATTCTTTCAGTTACTTAAGGCAGATTCTGGACTGTTTGCTAAAAATTTCATAGACAAAGCCCTTGAAACATTGGGTATTTCAGGTGGAGGTGGGAATCAAGGAAAGTTTCCTGGATAAGGTAGGAGTTGAGCTGGACTTTGAATGTGGGCAGGACACCAAAGGAAAAGAGATCGTAGGGTATTGGCATGTGCTATTTATTAGCTTTGCGATATTGGGCAAGTCAGTTAATATCTCTGAACCTTAGTTTACTTTTCTGTAACATGGGTATGATCATCATTTGCAGGCTGTTTGGTCAGCAGTCATATATATGACGTATATAAAGTGCCCAGCAAGTGGTGGGTCCTTCCCTGGACTCAGACCTTTGTCCTCTAACCTCTGACCCTCCTTCCTCCACCCTAGGCAGATCTGCAAAGAGTTTGCAGACTTGATGGCACAGGACCGTTCACCACTAGGCAACAGCCGCCCAGCACTCATCCTGGAGCCTGGCGTGCAGAGCTGCCTGACACACTTTAGCCTCATCACCCATGGCTTTGGCGGGCCCGCCATCTGTGCTGCCCTCACTGCTTTCCAGAACTACTTGTTGGAGGCACTCAAAGGGTTGGACAAGATGTTTCTAAGCAGTGCGGGCAGTGGGCATGGCGATACCAAGGCTTCGGAGAAGGATACCAAGCATCGGAAGTAACTGCTTCCCCTGCCCCATCCCTAAGGGGTCCCAAGGCCTGAAATGAGGTCTCCACTCCCGGTTAGGGGGAGACTGAAAGGACTAAAAGTTGGAGTTGGAGTCAGGCCAGAAAGAGAATATTCCTCCAGAAACCCCCAAGTTAGGGGCCTGGGTTGGAGTACGGGGAAGTGGCCTCTGTAGTGGTTTGTTGATAAGTTGAGGGCCCAGGCTTCTGCCTCACATGTGCAATTTTCTGACCCTTTATTGCTGAGAAGGGCTTGGACAGGAAATTGGCATGGAAAAGCCTGCTTCTTGGCGCCAGTGCTACCCATGAGGGTAATGGGTGCTCCTAGGAACCAAGGCCTTGCTGTTTTTACTGAGTAGGAGAGAAATTAACAAACCAGAGGTGCTACTGAGGAGTTGGTGCCCTTCATCCCAGAATCTCCCATCCCCAGAAAAGAGGTGCTGGCAGGAGGCCCCAGTGGGCTCTTTGGACTTCTCCCACTCTTGGGAAGAAGTGGGCAGAAGGGGCCCTCAAAGAACAGAGAAGCACAAATTGCAGAACTTGAATCCAGGCTGCACTTCAGTCCTGTTGCTGTCTGCCCTATTTATTTATGTTGTAATTAAATTTAAAGTTTAAAAATTTCCAGTGCAACTTATTTATCCCAATGAGTTGAAAACTCTCATTTCACTGTCTTCTGCTCATGTACCAAGATGTCCAGCTAGACCAGGAATGGAGAGGGTGATTTTGCTTGCAAAGGGCTGTGGGTGGGCCGGGAGGGAAGAAGGTCAGGGACCCTGCGGTTGTTGCTGGTATTTTGTATTTGCTGTTGTTTTTCTTGACCCTGCAGTCAGTGTATCTCCCCAACTCTCAAGATTGCTTTCTCATTCTCTTAATAAAATCTTTTCATTCGATATGAAGCCTTCCCTGTCCTTCTTCAGCCCAGGCCTGGACTTGCCTTCCAAGACTTGGACAAGGTCATCAGGGAGAGGCAGCGCCTGGGAATTAGGACAGGTTGAAGTAGAAAGAAGCCTCTAAAGGGAAACCCTCACAGGGGGCTGTGGGCACCTCTGCATGAGGGGGTGCAGATGGTGGGTCTATCTGGCTTGTCACTGTGGCTATTAGTTTTGTTGTGTGTGTGTGTGTGTGTGTGTGTTTGTGTGTGTGTTAAGTGAATCCTGACAGGGGCTGTTTTTGTATTATTGTGACTTGCAGGGCCTGTTTGTGAATGTGTCAGTCTGGCTATTAGGTCTATGTGATATGTTAACCATGTCCACCAGTGTGGGTCTGCATGTGTGTCAGGATAAATGCTGCTGACTGTGTCTGTTTATCTGTTTGGCCCATTCTAATCCACCTCTTTTGTCTTGAGGATTCCATTCTTCAGGCTGTTTTTCTTTCCTGCACCTTCAGTCTCTTCCTCACTACTGAATCGTCTGCTAGATCACTCCCCAAAGGACACATGTTCAAGGATCTCTTACCTTACAAACATAAATCCTTTCCCCATTTACTTTTTTAGTAAAAGTTTTTGAAAGATTGCTACACTCCCCACCTCCACTACCTCACCCCCAATTCACTCTTCAACCCACTTCAATCTGGCTTCTATCCCTTACCAGCCTATGGAAATCCACTCAGCAAGGTCATCAATGGCCACAAGGTCAAATCCGAAGGCTCTTTCATCCGGACTTAGCAGCACTTGACATGGCTGACCACTTGTTCTTTTCTGAAACATTCTCTTCTACTCATGTCCAAAATGAAGTACTTGACTCAAGTACTCAAATCTTGACCTGACCAGCCTCTTGACCTCAGTAAATGGCACCACCCTCTACCTAGCTGCTCAAGCCAGAAACTAGGGAGTCATATTTGAGTCTTTCCCTACACTCAACCAATCAGAAGTCCATCCTCTTCTAAATCTCCTCTGCTGCCACCCTAGTCCTCAGGACTATTGCAATTCTTTCAACTGGTCTCCCTGTTTTCACTGGTACGCCTTCATACGAAAGCCCTGCAAAGATCTAGACTTTGCCTATTTCTTCAACCATATCTTAAAACTATTTTTTTCATCACTCATTTTGCTGTAGCCACATTGGTTTCCTTTCTGTTCCTCACATCACCACTTTTATGCCTCAGGGCCATTGTACTTATCCTTCTCTTTGCCTAGAACTCTCTTCCCCTAGTTCTTTGTAGATGTGCTGTCAGAGACAGATGGTCAGGTGTTTTGCAGAAATCAAAGAACTTGGCATCATCTCCCAGGATAAATGTCCAAAGATGTGATTTCTTTTCTCAAGAAATTTCCCCACCCCAACCCACCAATATGAAAGGAGTGGAGGAAAAGCTGGAAGTATATTCTGCTTTAACCAAAGCCCTGGGCCTGGTGGGAGACATTCTACTACTAAAATTATTTTAGGCTATGGGAAGTTGAGGGAGTTAAATAAATGAGGTAAGACATATGGCACTTAAACTATTTCAGCACCCTCTTCCATCTCTTAGGGGTTCCTTGTCAGCCTTCCCAACCTCTTCACTAGTCAGAGCTGAGCTTCCCTACCCTGAGGCAAAACAGCTGCTCTCTTCTCCAACCTATCCCCTCTCACCCCAAGCCTGGGAACGAATAAATTGTTTCCAGTGCATTAATCACCTAAAAGCAGATGGGAACCAATTGGGAGACCATTCTGAGCAGTGTTTGGCCAGGAGTGTTAAAGCATCAGTGTATTTCCAGTTTTTCAATCTTCAAGGAACTGATTTAGAAGGACATAGCTGGCATTAAAAAATATAATCTGGTAGAAGGAAATATTAGAAAATATCAGAGTGCCCTGCATCATGACTTAATCACACCTGTATACATATCTGTAAGGAAAGTTCCAGGAAGCAATGCTTACCCTTTTTACAGTATATATATATATAGGCATGAAGTCATGAAGGCATGTATGCTGAGGCCATATCACTTCAGGGTCATGGGCTTTATGGAGTGCAGAAAAGGAAAGGAAACTGGGGAGCTAGGCTGGAAGAGGATTATGAAATGCCTAGCATGTCAAACTAGAGTTGGGCTTTATTCTACAAGCAATGGAAAATCTTCAGAAAGCTTTAAGTGAGGAGAGCAATGGATGGTCCACCTTTTTTTTTTAAGAGTAAAGAGAGAAAACTGGAGAGGGAAGAGGTTAAAAGTAGAGAGAAGTTAGGAGGCTGTTAAAATTTCCAAGAAAGAAATGATGGAAGTCAGGGTAGGCTGGTGAGCTTGCCTATGGGATCACTCTAGGATACTTACAGTGAAAGGCAGAAAACAATTTCATTCCTGGTGAAGCTTGGATACAGAATAACAAGTTTACTAATAATTTATACTTACTGAACACTTAACCACATGCCAGGCCCTGTTTCTCTTTACACTGGTGCACGGAATCCTCATAACCACCACCATGAAACAGGTACGGTTTTGACCATTTTACAGATGCGAAAACCATGAAGCAGGAATGTTTATGCTTTAGTAGTGGTACTCAACTGGCCGCAAGCAACAGAATCACCTGTGGAGCTTTAAAACAGATGCCTTACCAATAGGCACATGAAAGATGCTCAATATTGCTAATTATCAGAGAACTGCAAATCAAAACTACAATGAGGTATCACCTCACACCAGTTAGAATGGCCATCATTAAAAAGTCCACAAATGATAAATGCTGGAGAGGGTGTGGAGAAAAGGGAACCCTCCTACACTGTTGGTGGGAAGGTAGTTTGGTGCAGCCATATAGAAAACATGGAGATGCCTTAAAAAACTGAAAGTAGACTTACCTCATGATCCAGCAATCCCACTTCTGCATATATCTGGAGGAAACTCTAATTCAAAAAGATACATGCACCCCAATGTTCATAGCAGCACTATTTACAATAGCCAAGACACGGAAGCAAACTAAATGCCCATCGACAGATGACTGGATAAAGAAGATGTGGTATAAATATACAATGGAATATTAATCAGCCGTAAAAAATAAAATGCCATTTGCAGCAACATGGATGGAACTGGAGATTGCCATACTAAGTGAAATAAACCAGAAAGAGAAAGAAAAATACCACATCATATCACTTATATGTAGAATCTTAAAAAAATTACACAAACGTATTTACAACACAGAAACAGACTCACAAACACAGCAAAGAAACTTATGGTTACTAGGGAAGAAGGTGGTGATAAAGGGATAAATTGGGAGTTTGAGATTTGCAGATTCTAACTACTATGTGTAAAATAGATGAACAACAAGGTCCTACTGTATAGCACAGGGAACAATATTCAATACCTTATAATAGCCTATAATGAAAAAGAATCTGAAAAGAAATATATATATGTATGTGTAACTGAATCACTTTGCTGTACACCAGAAATTAACACAACACTTTAAACGGACTATACTTAAATTTAAAAAAAATAGATGCCTTATAAAGAGACTCAGAAATCTATTCAAAAGCCCAAACCTATGCATATTCATGCTGATGTCTGAGGATGAACCAGCTATGGTGATGTGCACCATCTCTTTTCCCCCTCATTTATTCAATGATTAGTTTGCTTCTTATGGTATAAAGCATTGACCACTGGCGTATGAAAAGTGTATGATATTCAAATCTGACAGTAACTCAATACTGTTAATATGAATGTTCTTATCTATAGGGAGTATCTTAAGGAGATGATATATTTCACCTCAGATAACCTCAAAACTTACTGTATGTGGTATTAAGAATAGCGCAGAATGGGATAAAGTAAGACTTATCTTAGTTTAAGACCAAACGGTGCTCAAAGTATAATTCCTAGACCAGCAACATCAACATCAACTGGTAATATTAGAAATGCAAAATCTCTGGCCACACCCCGAACAATAGAAGTAGGACACATGCTAAAGTTTGAGGACCACTGCTCCAAAGAAGCTTCAATCTGGTAGTTCTCTATCATGACTGAAGATTAGAATTATTTGAGACACTTAGAAAACTCCCCAGGTGATTCTGATACATACAGCTGGTTAAGAACCAGTTTTAGCAGCACATTCAAATAAAATCTACATTACTCATTTCCAAAAAGCTAGATTAGGAAGTAAAACAGATATCTGGTTAACTGTCTATAGTATAATCAATTTAATGGAATATTATGCAACTGTCAACAAGAATAAGTTAGCTATTTATGTACTGATATAAAAAAATCTTCAATATAGTGTTAAATGAAAAAGTAATATGCAGAACATTCAAAAATATTTTTAAAAGGGGACGTGTGTGTACGTGTGCGTAAACACACAGCCTTTACACAAGAACAGTGTATCTCTTAAAGGTCAGATAAGAAATTTGTAGCTGAAGTTCCCTCCGGGAAGGGAAGAAGGTGATCAAATTACAGGGATGGGAGAAACATTTTTTACTGTGTGTTTTTGTACTGTTTGCATTTTTTCTAGGTGCATGTATTACCCATTCAAATTAATTACTTAAAACTGTTAAGCTAAGGGGCAAAAAAGAACCACTGATTTAGAGGGAATGAGACATTAGCAAGCAAGCTGTCTGCTGCTAAAGGCCAATTAGAGTATTAATGAAGGGAAAGGGGCAGGAAGAAAGACAGTCCTGGCAAAAAGTCCAACACACCCTCCACTTCCTTCCTGAGGTGATGTTAGGTAAACTGAGACT